AGAGACATGATCACCTAAGCATATCATATCTGCCCCTACCAACATGCATCTGATAGATCAAATCATGCAGTGATAGTCATTTGCATCTGTGATATAGACTTGAGGATGAACATTTTCCAGGCCCAACCACTAGCATCATATGAGGTACTATAAGTTACAACCCTCACCTACCTTTGGTGTTTGTGGAAGTAATATTGAACAGCATTATGGACATCCAGAACATTGCTAACCTGCTGCCATTTCTGCAACAGATAGGTAATGTGCTGTTACAGTAAGAGATCATGTCTGCACTATTCAATATGTGCTCTGCAAGATGTTCAATAAATTTCCAGAATGACAGCAGACTTCTCCCCTATTGTAAATGAATATGACAGGATATACTTGACTTGTCTGGTTAGCCCACCTATAATTCTTGCATTAACAAATACTAGAGGCATTAAATAGTATTCATCATCTGTGCAACTGTACACGTGTGCAAGAGAAGAGGCTGTATGGCCAAAGATTATATACAGTGTATTAATTTGGATTGAGTACTGTTGATACAGCTTTTATTCTGGAACCTATTCACATTTTGATCAGTGTATATGATTAGTTACTGAAATAGCTCTGTTATCTGTACACTTAATCTTAAGTAAATGGAAACATACATTCAAGGTGTTGCAATTTTGTTTTCTGCTTAATTCATATTTTTGTGTGTGTCAGTTATAGACAAAAAAATGAAAAGAAACTAGTAATAAAAACAAATAGTAATAATGGAGTTGTTTCATGAAAGACATTTCTTTAAAAATAATTTTTAAAAAAGGGTAATGTTTGCTTTTTCAAAAATTGTCCAATTTTTATGAAGGCTATAACAAAGTTGAATATTGTTGCTACAGTTTATTTTAACATCAAAGTTAAGAGTTCATTCCTCTTTTGATGAAACAGTCTTTTTATTTTTTATTAACAAAACTGAAATGTAAATGATCCTCTTAATAAAATGTCATTTCTTCAGCATTTTGATTTCTACTTTGCAATCTTTGTGAAAACATTTTTTTCTGTTCAAGTGCAAAAATATTAAATGCAGAATTTCATCAGATTAACATCATTGACATTATAACCTGTTATATATTTTGTCCAGATTAAATAAAGGCCATGTTTTTTTTGTTTTTTGTTTTTTCAGTCTTTTTGATTCATAAAAATGTGTTTTTTCAATAAAATAACTAACAATTTAGAATTTTTTTTGTACCTTGAATTGATGATAGTTTTGCAAAATTTCTTTAAAGAACCAAATAGAACTCCATCTATCCCAGGAGATTCTGTTTGGGGATGCAGTTTGCCTTTAAAATCAATGTTTTAGCCTATATGAAAAGATTGCCCTGCTTGTTATTAAATAAACAATTGCGTACTGACATGCTAAAATAGGTTTACAACTCAATGTCTTTCCTATTCCCTTCAGAACCATCCACTTAAGTGCATTGATCTTATGAATTAAGAATTTTAGTTAAAATATTGTTTAGAATTGTACCTAATCATGCTCAGATATCTCATTTAAAATGAAATGTATGTCAAGACAGCTTTGAAAAAAATATATAAAACTTTCTTTCTTTAAGCAGATTTCCAGAAATAATAATACTATTGCATTGTCTGTCTTTACATTAAAAAATCCATTGCTTGTGATATCAACTTTTTAAATTCTTTATATAAAACTAAAAAAATTGATATTGGGTAAGACTACAGTAGTTCCCAGATTGTTTTCTTTCATTATCAGTTTTGCAACTTGCCACTCATTACATGCACACATTGTTAGAAACTAACCCAGCTTCTAAATGTTGCTTTTATTTCTTGAAGGCTTATAGAATTTTACTAAAACTGCTTATATTATAGTTGTGTATAGACAGGTTTTATAATCTTTGATTGAAAGCTTAGTTTGTAATATTTCATCCTAACCTGAACCATAAGTGTGTCCATTTTTAGATATTGATGTTTTAAGATTGCTCAGTTCAATTTCTATTTTTGTTATAGATTTCTTCTTGAATTATTAATCCATCAATTAGAATAATTTTTTTTAATATTCCTTTTGGCTACAATGCTACTTTATTAATCAAGCTTCATTTTTGGCAACTGTTTGTGGCAATCTGCTGTTTACAGAGACCTTAAGATGTTGGGCTGTGTAAATGTTTGCTACCCTGTACAAATCACTTCTGCTTTCACTGGAGTCAATTTCTTGTTATAACCTCAAAATATTTACAAAGATTCATAGGAAATGTGCTTCTAATAACCTATAATTTTCAATGACAACACTTGTTAGACAAAGAAAAATAATGCTGAAGTGCTTGATAGAATTTCCACTTAGAAATACTTTTTTAGAAACCTGAGAACTCCATCATGAGCTGCTAACCATGCAAATGATTAACAGATTGGATTCATTAGTTAATTTGAGAAAAACTATCCATGAAAGATTATAAAGAAATTTTTTTCTATTAAACAAAAAAAAATTTGAAATGTAAAATTGAAACCAGTTATCTGGACTTGGAAATATCAACTTTTTGATATTTTAGAATTCTGAAATTGACATGTGAAAAATAAGTTACATTTGTCTGCCTCATCAAATTCTGTCCTTAATTCCCTGATGATATTTTTGTGCATAATTGCAATGAGTTACTTGATATTTAAATTGAAAATTAATTAATTTTTTTTCTTTTTGTACTATTTGAACTTTCACAGAATTAATTGCAACAGCATTTCACATTTTCTACATTTGAATATTAATGAATATCAAATATTAATGAGTTGGCTTTATGGCTAACATCTGGACTGAAATTCATCTCTAGTCTTAGAAAATTTTATATAAACATGGTAAATATTTACAAAACCATTGCAATCAGCACCCACCTACTCCAAATGGAGCACATGTGATCTACCATTAATATTTAATATTTCTCCTGGTTCTTTAGACAAATATTGATTAGTTTTTATAGATATTAGATGAAGTAATCTGTTCTGAATAATATCACCCCAAATTTGGAGTGGGTTTAATGATAGGTACAAGTAATGGAAGTTAATGAATTAGTTCAAGTTTGAAACAGAAATGCTAATCTCAAATCCTAAACTCAGTTGTCTTTTCAATTCTGAATCTGAGAGATAATTGTCTGGGAACATTACTGGCAAATATTAAAGTTGAGTGCCAAAATGATGCTCTCATTGGAAGGTTTACCACACACATGAATTGTTCTCATAGACACTCATCATTAAAATTCCATGTAAATTGCACATAAGTTTATCATAAATTTTTATATTAGAATAAAAAAAATTTGGTGAATATTCTAATATAAAAATTATTTTTTGTCCACTACATAGATTTATTTTAATAATTGGATTTTTTTTTTTTTTTTTTTAACTGAATGAATGAAAGATTTTATCTGTAAAAATTCAATTGACTATAGAAATTTAATTAGTTTCTCGACTACTTGTTGCATCAATGACTGATTTAAGTTTTCCTTGTATTGTAAAACAAATTTTCTAATGTAAATACTTCCCTCTTGTTATGAAAACGTCAACTGATCATACTTGTTTTAAAAGCATTTCCTTTAAAATTAAAATCAAAATTTTTCTTGAAAAAATATAAAACAGTTTAGAGTTGAAATTGAGATGCACTAAATAAGAAAATTTAAAACTCAAAAAGAATTTTTTGTTAAATTGTAGATTCATATAAAATAAATAATTAGTGAAAGTTTTGATAAAATTTTTAAAAAGAAAAAAATTTAAGATTCTTGTAGAATTTCTGGTCTTGAATTAAAAAAAAATATTCCAAAAATAATTTATCTGTATTTATCTACTGTAATTTTTTAAACTTTGACAAAATGCAAACATTTAGTATGTATGAAATCTCCATTATGTAATAACAAGATCATTTCTCCCTTAGACATTTTGGATATTTGCAGCTTCTCAGTATGATTGTTAAAGCATAGTTCAGATATTTTTAATTTCATGCACAGCCCTTTTTATGAAATGGTGAAAATTGTATGTTCAGCTGTCATCATCTACCACCATCTGTAAAACAAATACCTATATAACAAGTTTTAAAAAAAAAAAAGAACAATAGATAATAATTATGGATAAATTATTTTGAGTCTTTTAAAATTAAATATCTTTTTTCTCTCTCTCTCTAATGAAATAATTATTATATTTATTTAATTATTTGAAGAGAGATTAAGAAATAATAAAATCATTAGAATTAAATTTGATTCAATTGTTAGATAAATTATCTTTTAACTCTATTTGGGGAAAACAGGCTAACAACTTAGTATTAATCTGTGACAAGCAATCCAATATTTTAACATGTCACAAGCTCAGCTTTCTACTCTTTCCTTATCTTTTACTGAACTATTATCCATCAGTATTTATTTTCTTCTTTTCCTACACTCTCAACTAATCAATTAATCAATATGAATCCAGTTAGGTGAGTGTGTTAGTCATGACTTTCAGACATTGTATAAGATTCTACAAAATGCATCTCAACATTGTCTATTTTAAAGCCTGCTTATCCTCCACCTTGAGTGTATTCATTACAAGTTAGTTCACTGTCCATGCTTACAGATGAATTAAGAGAAAATGTTCTTAATGGGACAAAAAAAAAAGCTCTATGAGATTATAAACAATTTAGAAAGTAAGTATTAATAAAGGTCTATTGTATATGGTTTTCATTTTTCTGTGTAGTTATAAAATATTTCAAATTATCTTTGACCTGCAAAAAGTCTTGTTTATTTTTTTTTTTCTCTCTCAACTTTTCATTGTAATATCAGTACAATCCAAACTACATGCTACTTCTCCCAACCACCCTCCTTATGATCATGTCTTGCTATGTAGTGTTTTTGTTATTGGGTCACTTTACAAATAGCTTTGCTTTTGTCTTCTCTAGATCGAGGTTAAATGTATTTGTTGCTTCCAAAACTGTCAATCAGTCAGTTTTTCATATAGAAACTTAAACAACATAAGTATTTTTTTTTTTTTTTTTTTTTCAGAACACAGCCTGTCTTGATGACTTTGATAGAATCAAAACATTGGGCACTGGATCTTTTGGACGAGTAATGCTGGTACAGCACAAGGCAAATAAAGAATATTATGCCATGAAAATACTTGACAAACAAAAGGTAAGAACATCATTTCTTATCTGTATGCTTAATCTACTCTTAACTCAAATCATAAATATTACAAGTGACTTTAAACTCTTGGAAGTTTTTCCACCTCTCTTCACATCTTTGTAGGAATGGTTCTAAGAAAATCCTTCCCCCTATATACAAACACACTTATATTTTGATTTGAATGTAAAACTTTTGGTTCCTTTTAATTAAGAGGTTTCATTTTTTTTTTTTATATACTTTTTGTCAAACACTTTTGTGTTTTGTTTTTATTTTCTCTAATAAATGATATTTTATTCTTCCACATTTTATATATTTAATACATTCAACAAGTTTCCATATTTTACATTTATTCCAAAAGACAGATTTTCAGGAATATAAAATTTTTAGTAGAATGTGTATGTTTCAGTAGGTTGTGTTTTTTTGGACAATACCATTTTAATGTTTTTATTATTATTCAAGCAGAAATATAGAAAATAATACTTTAATTGGTTCCTTATCTTCTGCATGTTACAATAAAAGCAACTTAGCATTTGCAAATTGTTTTAAATCAAAGTTTAAAAAGAAAATTATCAATTTATCTGAATAAATTTTGACTGTTGTCATAATACAACACCTCATTCTATTCATCACTTTCATTCTATTTCAAAGATGAATGTTAGGTACCTTTGTTTTTGCTCACACTTTCATCCATCAGTATTTTCTTGCTTCTATTATTCAATAAAGTACAATATTAATTTTAATTTGTCCATTCTCTCATCAATAATAAGTCATTTGTTTGTTATTGCATGGTCACACAGGAATCCTTTTCTTGATGTTAAACTCAGAATTGACCATAGGAGAGTTACTTCAAGTTTTTCCACTTATTTTCCATCTTCAGTCAAAGGTTGTAAAATTAATAAATTTTTAATAGATATTGATGATTATACATAATTGTAATACTTATATTTCAAGCCAATAATTTCAGTACCCTGTAAGAGCTATTCATATTCTCTCACATTAAAGATAATCCCATACAAAGCTGATTATTTAAAAGGGTGCCATTTTTTTTCTTTTCTAAAGCATACACAGACAAATGATTTTTGTTCCCTTAATATTGTTAAATAGGGACAACACCACTGAGAAGACATAATCATCTGTGCCATTTTAATCGTGAAAATACATTTTTGTCAAGAAAAAAATAGATATTTCTTTTGCTCTCAGTAGTATGTAACTAAAATACTGTGTTTGGAGTTCAAACAATTTAAAATCCAACTTTTTGAATTCTATATAAAAAGCCCAATTCTGCTTCATGATATTATTTGTGATATCACTTGATCTTGATGATATTATTTGTGATATCACTTGATCTTGATGATATTATTTGTGATATCACTTGATCTTGATGATATTATTTGTGAACAATCTTGATGATAAAAGATATCCATGATATTATTTGATAATGATCTTGATGATATTAAAATATCAATTGATCTTGATGATATTATTTGTGATATCACTTGATCTTGATGATATTATTTGTGATATCACTTGATCTTGATTTGATATTATCTTGATGATATCATTTTGATCTTGATCTTGATGATTATTTTGATATGATATCACTTGATCTTTGATTATGTGATTTGATTTGATGATATTATTTGTGATATCACTTGATCTTGATGATGATATTGATCTTGATGATATTATTTGTGATATCACTTGATCTTGATGATATTATTTGTGATATCACTTGATCTTGATGATATTATTTGTGATATCACTTGATCTTGATGATATTATTTGTGATATCACTTGATCTTGATGATATTATTTGTGATATCTTGACTTGATGATATTATGATATCATGATCTTGATGATTTATTTGTGATATATTATTTGATGATAAAATCACTTGATCTTGATGTCATTGTTGTAAAATGAAATTTGAGCTTCTGGACCAAAATGTATTAAAATAAGCTCCATTAATGAGCAAAGAACTGAAAATATTTGTTTATGCTTTGAACAATAATGAGTAAGTTGAAAAACCTTTTGATTAAATTTAAAATTACTTAATATTGGATATTTGAGAACATTTAGAAAAGAATGTCTTGGGAATAAACCATGAAGTTTATCCAGGATGTATCTAGTCTCAAGTGTTTAGTCATGATGTAACTTGGCAACCAATCAAAAAAAGATATGACTATACTTGTGTGAATACTCTCCTATGGGGTTACTCAGTTGGCAGTGAAACATCATTACATTCACAATGAATAGATTCTTTATATCTTATACAAGGTTTTTTAGTAAAACATCACCTCAACCAGGTTTGACACATACTGAGTCCTGATTTGGTTCCCTGCCTGCAACTTCTGGTTTTTCCCAAAAGTAAAATCACTATTAAAATTCTCTAATTAGGAATACAATAAGATGGCTGATGGTGATCATGAAAGAAGACTTTGCAGGCTGTTTTAAAAAGTCAAAGGATTCTTCTTTTTTTTTTTTCTTTATTCTTCTTTTTTTTTTCTTTTTTTTTTTTTTTTTTTTTTTTTTATCTCCTCCTCCTCACCTCTGCAAGGCAGTATAGCCACTAACACACAACAGATTAGTGTGTAGAGGAATTAGGGACAGAAACATTAGTAATGAGGAGAAATTAAAGTTGGGTGGAAAGCATGTAGCCAGGAGGGAGTTCCACAAGCAAGAAGTGCGAGATAAGAAACTGTTAGCATAGAAGTTATTGCTACATCTAGGTAGCTCAACTGTAAATTGATGAGACCTCACTGCCAATCTAGTATTGCAATTAAATTCATATAGTCTAGGTACCATAGCAAAGAGCTCATCCAAACAATTACCATGAAAGTATTTATAAAAAAGGCAGAGAGAGGCAACCTTATGGCGGTGGGCAAGTGACTGAAGCCAAGACGCCAGATCAGGATGAATATTATTGGTGATTCTTCTTTGGATCTATCAAGGAGCTCCAGGCAAATAGCAGGGGCACCGGACCATTTATGCAGAAATATTCTAAGCATATACAAATGGTTGATTCATAGATATACAAGATAAATTCCAGAGAGAAAAATTATCTCGCCCAACACAGTGAACCAATTTTCTTAGCAGCTGATCTGATAGGTTCAATGTAGTGTTTCCACCTCATATCAGCCAAGAACATTAGCCCAAGAAAGCACAATGAGTCACTTTCTTGGAAGTTAGCCTCAGACATGCTGATGGAAGGCAGAGAGGGGTCTCTCAGATGACTAAGTTTTATTTTGAAGGCATTAAAATTGATGAGCCATCTTTTGCTCCAGTTAAGGACAGTTTTGGGGTCATTTTGTACATCAGCTGCCATTTTGACCTTGTCTGACTGATAAGCCTTACTATCAAGGCAGGAGTAAATGGTATTGTCTTCAGCATAGATGCTAAGTTGAGAGCTGATGTCATTGGGAAGGTTGTTAATGAAGATTAAAAACAGCATAGTGCCAAGGACGGAGCCCTGGGAGACACCCACATTAGTACAAAAGGATGTAGATGAGTGGCCGTTTAGGACAACATTCATTTCACGATTTGATAGGAATGACTGCATCAATTCAAAAATTGCCTGGCGATACTGTAGTTTTTCAGCTTGTGGATAAAATCTGTCAAAAGTTTTTGAGATGTCCAATGATATAGCCTGGTCTTCACTTTTTTTTATCTAGAGCATGATAAACTCTTTCTGCAATTATCACTAGTACATCAGCAGTTGATCTGGAGAAACAAAAGCTATATTGCTTGTCTGTTGAAAAGACCCTGTGATGAACCAATTCAGCATTGATTAGGGCCTCTAGGAGTCTCCCAAAAAGTGGCAGAAGGCTAATAGGCTGATAGTTGGCTGAATCAGACGGTTCACCAGAGTTCTTAAAAACTGGAACAACAGGCAATCACTTCCAGCAAGCAAGAAAGAAGGCAGCAAGGCATTTATTATATTGTTTAGAGAGAACAGGAGCCAGTTTGGGAGCACACTCTTTAATGACTATTACAGGTATATCATCAGGTCCACATGCTTTGAGGGGATCAAGGTTAGAGATGATAACAGAGACTATGGAAGGTCTTATATGCATATCACTCAGCAAAGAACCAGTTCTAAGTGAGAAGTTAGGTATGGATACTCCAGATGAGTCAAGTGTAGTTTGAGGAGAATTTATGGGCAAAGCATTTAGCTTTATCAGCAGAGGATGATAACACCTCAAATCGATTGAAGAATGGTGGAATAGAGACCTTGCACATATTTAGTACCCTATTCCAAAGATGCTAGTAGTCATGAGACCCAATGTTTTTAGAGGCTATGCAGTGCCTCATTCTCTCAACAAAAAAGAACTTAGCTCCTTCAAGGACTCTCTTACATTTGTTATGAGCAGTAGTAAAAAGGCACATGTTTTGATAAGAGCTGTCGCACTGGTATAGCTGGAAATAGTGGTTCCTGTGTACTATGGCAGCTGAGCATGCTAGTGTGAACCATGGAGAAGATTGCGGTTTCACCTAGCATTTCCGAGAAAGGACAAAAGTGTCTGTGCCAGCTTTGACCCAAGAAGAAACCTCAGTGGCACAATTTTCAATTGGGAGGTTGAAAATGTCAGTCGAAGGGGCATCACGAAAAAAATCCCAGAATGAATCCCAATCAGCATGCTGGTACCGGAAAGATGTTTTATGGATAGGAGGTTCTTGTTTGATGGATGCTTGGAAGGAGATATCAATAGCTACTACAGAGTAGCTTGAGTTACCAAGATGGAAGTACTATGAAGCTTGTCAATAGCAGGGAGAGGAAGTTAGAAATAGATCCAATAGAGAAGCTTCTTTTGGCTAGGGAAATGAGTAGGGAAGTCCACAATTTGAGCGAGGATTGGGTAATGGAAAAATTTAATGCCTGTATACCACCAACATCAGAACCTTTTAGAATGTTTCAGCCATGTGTCGTGGTGAGCATTAAAGTCATCGACAACAAAGTTGTTCGCAGATAGATGGAGAGAAAAATGCCTTTTCTATATTGTCAGCTATT